TACATCTATTTTAGTCATATAAGAACTAAAATAGAATTTTTCCAGATTCTGATTTTTACTGAATGTAAAAACTAGGTTAACTGAAAGTATTATTAAAAATATATTATTTTGCTAAATGAAGAAATGCAAGATGAAGGTTATATAATTCTTACAAATGATTAATGCTATATGAGTAATGGATTGAGGTGGAAAATTAAGACAATAAGCTTGCTTGTAACACACACACACACACACACACACACACACACTGTTTTTTAGAGGGACTATGGAAAACGATTAGTCACACATTGAACCAGAAACCCCTGACACCACACCAACACTGCACTGTACAGCAGAATTCAAAAGAGCTACTGCCCTGGGATAGAAGTCTATTTGTCCTTGTTTTTATTATTCTGTACCGTCCGCCTGATGGTAATAGTTAAAAAAAAAGGATGAGATGGATCTTTGAGAATGTTTTGAATTTTCTTAAGGCAGTGGGAGCTATGAAGCTCTTCCAAAGAGGGGAGAGGGCAACCAATGATCTTCTGGGCAATGACATTAACCCTCTGGAGTGCTTTCCTATCTGCCACTGTGCAATTGGCAAACCAAACAGAGGTGCAGTATGTTAAAATGCTCTCTATGGTGCAGCGGTAGGTCACCAGCAGTTTTTCATTCAGTTGTTTTCTGAGAAGTCTCAGGTAGTATAATCTCTGCTGGGCCCTTTTGACTAAGGCTGCAATGTGGGCACCCCAGGTCAGGTCCTCTTTTAGGGTAACACCCAGAAACTTCAAACTGGCCACTTGCTCCACTCGGTCTCCATTGATAAGCAAGGGCTGGATGTCTGATCTGTTCCTTCTATAATCCACTATAAGTTCCTTGGTTTTATTAGTGTCGAGGACCAAGTTACTGTCTCCACACCACGAAAGCAACCGGCCTACCTCATCTCAGTAGACAGACTCATCCCCGCCCAGAGATAAGTCCCACCACTGTTGTATCATCTAGTGTGAGTGGGAATGCAGTCATGCACATAAAGAGTATAGAGTGAGTATAGAGTGAGGGACTCAACACGCAACCCTGTGGTGTACCAGTGTTAAGAATAAGGGCGAAGAGGTATGCCACCTAAGAGAGTTCCAGAGGAAGATAGTTACTCTGTAAAAGTGGTGCTTCTGTTTTCACTCTTTGCATGGCAGAATATTATCCTGAAATTTATGACACCAAAATTTTTTTAGGCATAACCAATCTTAATGTTTTTTTTAATATGGTTCTTCATTCCATTTAATATGGCTGAGTTTTTTTATTTCTTTAGTAATGATCAGGCTAAGAAAAAGAACCTCTCTCAAATGAAACTTATTAGTCCATAGTTTTGGCACATCCTATCCTTACTTTACAAATATAAGGGAATTGGCAATAAACAGATTGGTGACAATCTTAAAGATACTAAAAATCTTAGAGATGGACCTCTCAGTAGTCTGGACTACATTATTTTATGCTGCTCTCATGCATTGTAAAACTCTTGTTTCAGTTGGAAAAATGGCATATCATTTTAGATTGTCAATGTTTTGCTAATAAATCCATGAGATATGTATTGCTAACAATTATTCTTCAGCTCTTCTGTCTATAATTCAGCTTGTTTTTTCATTATTTGCAAAATGTTGTGTCCCACCTTTCTTCCAAGGAACTTTGCGTAATTTTGTATCTCAACAGCTGTGTAGTAAACTGATTTGCCTAAAGCCTCCTGCAAGGATTTTAATTTAGGATTACCACACACAAATATTGCATTATCAAACTGATTTAATTGTACAGAAATCATTAAAGTTTTCTGTTGTCTGTTTCATATGTATACCATACAATTTAAGCATAAAACTATGCATGTCTTGCCTCTGAAGAATTCTATCTGGGAAAATGGGAGCCAATCACATAAATCATTGACTCATGTGTGACTATTGTGGTGACATAGGAAATGATTTTCAGTAATCCGTAGAGATTTTCAATTAGTTTTTAATGATCTCATCTGGAATTCCCCACAATCTCCCATCCTCCACTAGAGAATGCCAGCAGGAAAGGAGGCTGATGCAATCAGCAGCAAATAACCGAAAAGCTGGGAAAGAGAAACTGTAGGGCTTTATTACACTTGTAGGCAAACATTGTTTTATTTGTACAGTTCTCTAGCATGAAAGGTGAACATGGAACCTGAAGTGTTCTTGTTAACCTGAAGTGTTAAATTTATAGAGTAGAAATTCTTGTATTCTTAAATTCTTAATATACAAAGGCTTTTAAAAGCTGGTCCACTGAATCTTGTTTTTCTGAGTAATGTTCCTTTTATAACAATAGAATTATCTCTTGTCCAATTATTAGCAAAACAAGGTAGAGTTATCCAGTGGTGACTGACCAAGAGCTTCTCAAGACAGTTGCACTTCACAACACACAGATTTATTTATCCATCCTCCTATCTCAAGATTGTAGTCAGTAGCTACTGTATATACAGAATATAATTGAATCCCCAACAATTAAATACATGATCAATCCACCACCACCCCAATTTATGGACCAAGGCTTGTCTAAAAAAAGGAAGCTCTTCATCATCTTGAGTGCAGCTCTTCCATATGTAGGTATTGCTTTAAAAGAAATCTTACTTTCTGGTCTGTGCTCTTGTCATTTTCTGCCAATGCAAGCCTTAAGTGTTTGGTCTAAATGCCCTTGCAGGATGGGCTGACTTGGAATGGAGCAGATGATTCCTTCTACAGATTGTTCCTCTGCCCAGAAATATATCTTATTTCAGCCTACAAGTAGTCCTCACTTAAAAGCTGGGACTGGGAAATTTCTATCATTAAGTGACATTATCATAATGCAGTGTCACATGACTGCTGCTTAGCCACAGAAAACTTGACACTCCTGGTTATTGTCATTAAGTGAATCTCCATGCATTATTAAGCAAATACTTCATATGGTCACCATTTTCAGCCTCCTGCCAGGACTCTCATTGACTTTGCTTGCGGAATGCCAGAAAGGTCACAAATGATGACCATGGGATATTGCAGCGTCATAATCGCGAGTCAGGTGCCCAGTAACTATGTGAGAAAAGGGTCACTGCGACATATGAGTACGAGGACCATCGTAACTACCACTCATTCAGCATTTGTAAGTTTGAGCGGTTGCTGAATGACGAGTTAGACAAAGGCTTTATGTACTTGGGCAAAGAAGGAAACTCCCTTTCCCCTTCTCTCAGAATAGAACTATAATTATTTCACAAATTAGCATTTATGAATATTGTAAGTCTCCATATCTGGAACTATGCTCTCCTTTGTTGACTCCCTGCCCCATTGTTACAACATTGTGAAAAAAAATCTTAGAGATTAATTGCCTTGCTTTAAAAACAAAACAAAATAGCATGTTTTTGTAACAATAATATACAAATGTGTTAGGAGACATTGTTTCCCCAATATCTTGCTATGTACAGCAATAACACAAAACAAGACTTAATGTTTATAGGCAATGTTCCTATAGCATGCTTTTTGCCATCCCTTTTATGGCACAGTGTTAGAAAAATAAGAAAAAATAATAGTAATAATTAAAACAAATTTATTTTATATTAGTATAATCTCAACAAATTTTGCAAAAATAAGCCTCTTTAGTTCATGGTTATCATTACTAAATGCCAGTTTTGTAGCTGCAGGGAATTTCAGGTGGTAGCAAGATACTATAATTTTCAGGAGTAATTTTATCTATTCTTCTGGCTTTCTTGTGGTAATAGAACTCTGGCTGGCAGCCTGCTGCCTATTAATCACAAGACTAACTCTCGTGTAATTGGGTTTGATGTAATATCAAAGAAAGGTGTGGTGTGTGATTACTTCAGTTTCTCTTGTTACGCCCAATGATGATACCCAAAGGATTTTGTCCTCTGCTTTTTACAGTCAATGCTGGGAAATGTGAGATTGCTTCAAGAACTACAGCTCGGTACCTTGAGGTCACTCATGCCCTGAGTGAATAAAAGAATTGGGGGAGTAAAACATAGAATAATGACTTCATCTGAAGTTGGGGAGAGCTGGGGTTGGGGTTTGATTCTCATTATCCTATTTCATTATTCTATCCCCCACTTATTTATACTATTGTAGTTAACAGCTATATTGTCCAAGGGGAAATGCATACCGGTACTATGAAACTATAGTTTACATGTCTAGATTTGTCAGAAGCATTTTTAACAGGGCAGAGCCTTAGTTCATATGCTGTTTCCATTTTAAATGGCTTTATTAGCAAGTATCTAAACTACATCTTGAATCCAGAGAGTTTCAAAGAACAGTTTTAGTATTAACAACAGCTTATCGAAGATTTAGATATCATCTATAATGATTGTCCTGGTTAAATGAGACAAGGGAAGCTGTCTGTAAGAAGCCTGAAATGAGGTTATATAAGACTAAGCATTAAAAGCGGATTTAAAACCTTTTTATATGAAGGTACCGATAAAGGACATTATAGCATGCTCACTAGAAAGTACATATACATGCATATATTGAAAGGCTCTTATCTATTTCAGCTTTGCTTTGACAGACATACCCCCTCCTTCATAAGGTAATAATAGGATTTTTAGTTTTTGCAGATTGCTGTAGCAGTTGGAAGCAGTGGCTTTCTTCCAAATATACAAACTCAGTGTGAGGGAAAGTATACTTGCTTCCTTCTCTGTAAAGGAGGCTTCCTTGGGCATAGGTGATACCTAAAACAACTGTAAAATGATATTGGAACTTCTGCTTGGAGGAAAGGCTTCTGCTATATAAGAAACAGGAAGAAAAGTTGAAGTGTGTATGTGTATACTTTATCTGTGGGGGAAAAAGGATGTTCCCCATTGATACTGTACAGGCAAGAAAGTTTCTGGAGTTCCATGGTAAATTTCAAGTAAAATATTCTCTTACATTACTAAAATAAAGCAGGATATGAGAATCTTACCAAGAAATATTTCTTTTTCTCCTTTGCATTTTATTTTTTTCTGAGACTGAAAGACTAATCTAAATTTATTGATTCTTCTGCAGGATGAACAGATTGACTGGGAGAAACCCATTCTGTCCCAAGCTGACATTGAACAAAAGATAAAAGAATATAATAGCCAGATAAACAGTAACCTCTTTATGAGTTTGGTAAGTTTCAAAACAACTGTAACTCAAGGCCCCAATTATATTTCTACATCTCAGCAACAGACTCCTGTGTCTTCCCTTAATCACTAACTTGGCCATTTAAAATATTAATATTGAAATCATTCCATAGATATAATTCCTAGATGTTTTAGCAAACAAAATAAAAATTCAGTTCAAATTCTTTCTTTCCAAATGTTGCACCTATGACTCTCTTTGAGATAATTTTTTGCTGGCTTCTTTGCCCAACTCAACTATTCTTCTATTCCTGCAGAATAAAGATGGGTCCTATACTGGCTTCATTAAGGTACAACTAAAGCTGATCCGGCCTGTGTCAGTACCTGCCAATAAGAAAGCACCCTCAATCCAGGACACTAGGAAGAGTTCTATACGTAGCCAGGCTGTAAAGCGCCGAACTTCATTCTACTTACCAAAGGATACAATCAAGCATCTGCATATAATTTCTCGTACACGGGCCAGTGAAGTCATTGAAGCCCTGCTCAAGAAATTCATGGTTGTTGACAATCCCCGCAAATTTGCCCTCTTTGAGAGAACAGAAAAAGATGACCAAGGTATTCAACCTTTCCTTCTGAATTTCTTGAAACCAACATAGAACTTATTGTAAATTGGATATATCTTAAGGACCATATTGACCAGGGAATTTGCCTGGTCAGTACACACATGCAGTTGGAGGATGCATAAGAAGTCAAGGGCCCACAGAACCAAAACGAATCCTTTTGGAATGCTTCCCCACATGATGGTAGAGCTATCATCTACCTTATGGGACTTCCCCAAGGCTGTTAAGCTTATTCTTCTTGAATAGGCCAGTACACCGAGAGAGTTGGGATGTTTTGAGGACAGGATGGTGGGTTTTTCCTTTCCTCTCTTCTCATTATGGTTTTACTTTAATTCTGCTGTAATTGTGAATCACTTGAACTGGATAGCAAAGGAATACTTCTATGAAGGACACAGTTTTGTTTTATTTAAGCTATTAAGAGTGATAGTATGATAAATATCAATGTGATGGTCAAAATACTATACAGGTAGTCCTTGACTTACGACTACAATTGAGACATTTTTGTTGCTAAGCGAGATAATTGTTAAGTGAGTTTTGCCCCATTTTATGACCTTTCTTGTCACAGTTGTTAAGTTAATAACATGGTTGTTAAGTGAATCAGATCTCCCCATTGTCTTTGCTTGTTTTGGAAAGTCGCAAAAGATGATCTCATGATCCCAGGACACTGTAACTGTCATAAATATGAGTCAGTTGCTAAGCGTCTGAATGTTAATCAGGTGACTTTAGGGATGCTTTAGGGACTTTAGGGTTGTAAATGTGAAAAAGTCACTTTCAGTGCTGTTGTTACTTAGACCGGTCACTAAATGAACTGTTATAAGTTGAGAACTACCTGTATGAACTAGTAAGTTCGTATTGAATGAATTGAAAAATATGAGGTTGCAAGAAAACAACCCATAAACCACCAGGGCAAGGTTATCTTCAAGGTAAAATGAACAAAGAATTGTAATGAAACTTAGTGTTTGTTTAAGAGTGTTCTTGTTATTGTTAATTATATATCAGGGCTGAAAGTCAGCTGGGAGGAAAAGAAGTCAAATCTTTCATTTTTTCTTCCTGCAGAATTCCTTTGTGAGAAAGTTTGTAACTGATGTATTAAAAGCTTCTCCCCAGAAGACAATAGATTGATTTGTCTATTTTAGTTAAATCTGTGCCACTTGGAAGACTCAGTCATTCATTTTCTTATTCTTTTGTGTGTCAGTATATATCCGTAAGCTTTCTGATGAGGAGCAGCCCCTGCGTCTCCGACTACTTGCTGGTCCTAATGAAAAAACACTCAGTTTTGTTCTGAAGGAAAATGAGACTGGTGAAGTCAATGTGAGTATAGATATTGATGTACTCTAAAGCTTGCTGTTGAACCTGCGTGACTTAAGTACAAGCTCCACAGCTATTTGCTATCTAGCAGCTTTTGCCTTGACCTCAACAGTTAGAGAATGGCACTGGCCTTGATCTCCTAGTTCAGGGGTAGGGAAACTTGGCTATTATATGTAGGACATACTATATTATATCCTACATTTGTATATTAAACAGTCCCATTCAAGTCAAAAACTGATTTTCCCCCAAACTGAAAAACCAGTAGGCCAGGGATGGGGAACCTTTTATGGCTCACTCAGGAATTCTGGGAGTTGAAGGCCATAAGTGATAGAAGAGCCAAGTTTCCCTACCCCTGTCCTAGTTCCAGTTGCATGGTTTTTAACAATAATGTATACATCTGCAATGTACGAAGTGTTGCAGTGCAACGTTTTCTGCAAGAAAGCTACCCTTTAAAAAAAAAATTATAGCATACAAAAATAATAGTGACTACAAAAAGAAACTGGACTATTTAATAGTTGTAATAACCTTTAGTGACTATTGCTAGGAATCATGTATATATGAATATTATAGTACTGTTATGGCTTAATTTATTAAAATGAAAGGAATATTGTGCAACAGACCTGATATATTAGTGTTTACAAGTATTATAATGAAAATTTTCAAGAAAACCTTTACATTTTCTTGAATTTACCATTTACATAATGCTGCTTGTTTTTGGAAATCTTGAAATCAAAGATTTGAAGTTGGAATCCAGTTACATTTTGGTGATGATTTGAATTTGAAATGCTATGTTCTGAACTTGAAAAAGCTGCTCTGCTATTCCCAAAAATCTTAATAGCTTGAAACAGTTGAGCCGCTTCCAGTAAGATCAGAACCGCTATTTTGAACTTGGTTAGACATTTCAGATTTGAAAATGTTTGCATATTCCTAATTTTAGGAACTAGAAAAAGGTCTGTTTCGGAATGTTCCACAAAAACCCACGTTACTGTTGCACTTTATAATGAGGAACTAAACTGGCTGGATAACAATTTACTATATTAGAAACTGTTTTGTTGCTGTTTCTGACTGTTAATATTCATTTAATAGATCTTTTTAAGAAGGTTAAATTCTGAATGCCCAATAATTTTAAAGCCTATAAAGATATGCATTGTGTTTGATGACTCATTGACACAGCCTATGGACTTCAGCCAGGGTCAATAGTAGAATCATATGACATTTATTACCTGATGGGTATTGTTATGTTTCCTTCGAGTCAGGCTGATTTCCTATGAATTCAGGGTGTAGACATATAGTTTTCTTGGTAATAGCACGGAAGTGATTTGCTATTGCTTTCTTCTAGGAAGTCTTATTCCAAGCTACTCTCCCCTTTTTATGACCCTCATCTTCCCTAAAGTAATCTCATCCATATGCTAACAAGACCCAATCTTATTTAGTTTCCAAATCCAGACAAAATTGTTCAAGTGCTGCCACCTTCTGAGATATTCATAAGTATTTAATTTACTAAATATTTCTTCTTTCTACACTGGGAAAGAACGCCAAAGTGGACATTATTTAAAGCCATACTCAAAGCTGTTTTGTAAACTGTAGAACAGGAAATTACCAATTTGCTTTCTGCTTTGATTTGTATCATGCCCTTGTACTATTTTTATGTGGTTTTTTTTCCCAACATGAGCCACTAACAAAGGGTATATTTTGTGTTAAGCATAAGGGATATAAAATGATGATCCCCTGCTTTTCCTGTGCCAGAATCTTTTGTTTGGATTAGTCCTTTATTTTAGATTCTAGAAAAATAATGTAAAAGGTGATGAAATAGATCCCGATTAGTGGTCGTAAGCTCATTACTATGATATAAACACATTGTGATAGTTACTTCAATTTCCTTGCTTTTTGCAGTGGGATGCCTTTAGCATGCCTGAATTGCAGAACTTTCTGCGTATCCTGCAGCGTGAAGAAGAGGAACATACTCGGCAGATTCTGCAGAAATATGCCCATTGCCGCCAAAAAATGCAAGAGGCTCTAGCTGCTCGCACCCCAGGTTGATGAAATGCTGTATCCCACACCCAGCACTCCAGTAAGAGAAGATGCCAAAAGCAGTGAAGCCTAGTGGACTGCAAACGAAGTGATCCTTCGACTGGGATGAATGTATCTCTGGAAGTGGTGGGGAAGGGACAGCAGGAATGTATGGATCTCTTTGTGAGCCTTTGATCAGTGCATGTGTGTGCTCCCTTGGAGTGAGTGGATAGTAAATGTTGCATGCATGGCACATTGGGGTCAGGTGAGAAAACAAAAAGGTGTTTGCAGAATGTGTCTGCAGAATGTGTCTGAAGATGGGGATTTTAGGGCAATACTATAGCACTGTTACTGAAAAAAGTGCCAAAAAGCTAGTGCCACTTTTACAGTAAAAGACTTGCTGAGCTATGTTTCTCTGGGATTGGAATTGGGCAGGATTTGTGGTTAACTTGAAAACAACTAGAGTAGCTTTGAATCTAGAAGTATTCCAGGAAGAGAGGTATCCATGGCACTTTTCTTTAAAAAATATATATTTGTTATTTTTGTATAAGGTAATTAAGATTCCTTTTAAGGGACTAGTGTAATTCACTCAACCCTGTTTAAGCTCATCTTTAGGTAAGAATTTCATGGTCAGTCTGATTAAGTGAAATCCACTGCCTCTTATCTGAAGTCATTGAGACTTGATCATACAGAGAAATGGAGACTAAAGTTTGCCTTCTCTCAGGACTATAGAAAAACAGTTGACAGGAACATTGATATATATGTATAAAATATTCTGCCAATATCTCTCCTTTATTTTGTTCTCTTTATGGAAAGATTGGATCTAGCTGCTTGAGAAATCTCAGAACTCAGGCTTCTCTTCTGCTATAAACATAACTACTTACTTTTTTTTTATATGGGCACATGCATGACAGAGATCTTGATGTATGGCTGTGGAACATCTTAGTTTGGGGAAGAACATAGCAGGAAATGTCCTGGGTTGCTGCTCAAAACATCTGTAGCATGGGAGGCATTCGTACTGCTACATTAGGTCTCTTTAGGATTTAATAGTCGAGTATATTTGTCAGAGCATTGAAAAATACTTTTTTAAAAAAAAGTTAGGCCTCTGCCACTTCTGGGGAATCCTGTTTAAAATTGTTAACTATCTTGAACATTGAATGGATTAACTAGGATTGTTCATTGTTTGAACTGAATGGATAAATCATTTTGGGGGATTGATTAGGTTATGAATGATACTGCTTATATACCAATCAATAAATGATTCAGGGATGAGAAATATTTGGTGTAATATTACTTTCTTACTTGAAGACTATGCCCAAAAATGACATCTGCATGTAGTGTCACATCTGTTAGTTCCTACAAACCATATTCAAACTGTATCTTTTCATCCTGATCCTCTGCCATCTTTGAAACCCAAAATTGATTGATGTGCCTTAAAATTAGCTGGATTGAAGTAATATGTTAAGCCAAGGGGTTTATTAGGTACACAAACCAGAATAATTTTATCAGTGATTTATTGTGCAGTATTAACCAAGATTTGTTTCTTTCTGAAAAAGCCATTTAAAAAGCTAAGTTTAGATTCTGACTGAAGTATTATTGCTGGAACCTATTGTGGACTATTGAGAGACAATAAATAAAATGAATACTACATCTTATCTTTTTCCAACTAAGGTAAATTTTTGCAGCAAAACTACTCTGCTATGTTGCCCTACATTGCTGCATTGATGTACCATGTACCATGTTTCTATTATACAGTGGATCTAAATCTTATCCAAACCCTGTAACATTCAAATGTTTTTAAATAGATTAATATTTGATATAGCAAATAAACGTACAAAACATATAATAGACTACTTCTACATAGCTAACAGTAATTCTTTCCAATGGAAACCCTTTCTGCCATATTTACCATGGAAAAAGATCTGAGATGCTAATGTTGTGAAATTAATCAGCTCAGCTGGAACCTCCATTGCATCATGGATACAGAAAGAATGTGAAAGAATCCTCAAATCCTCAATCTTAAAGTGATCAATGTTCATCATTTGCCTCACTTCCCATTAAGAAAGAGTAGAGCCACTTAAGACTTATTTATATACCATCACCTTAGGTACAATTCTGCATATATCAAATAAACATGGCCTAAAGTCCGTAATTTATTGCATAAAATTTGACTGTTTAATTGTTCTTGTGTACAAAATTATTTCATGTCCCCATCTTAAAGGTTTGCACAAATGGTGGTGTGGCTACTAAATAAACTTGAATTTAATGCAGTGTTTCTTGTGCAGAAATTGGTGAAATCACATGTAGCATAATACCAAGTGACAAATTATCAACTGCCTGTGTTACTAAAATTACCTTCTGGGCAGCACAGCTTAGATGTGTAACAATTAAGAGACTGGGGCAACCCACACTTGGCTTAAGACTAACCCAGAGATTCAATTATGGATCAAACTCTCACCTCAACTCACTTCACTAGGCTATAAGGACCACAAAATAAGGGGTGCCTATCCCCCACGGAGCTCCTTAGAAGAGAGGAAGATTTACATGGAAATTATTTGGGTACTTCATATCTTATGGACTGCTGATAAATCATATCTCCTACTATAGCTTGACTCAAATAACATTCAAGCTAACACAAATTAAAAGCACCCTGATGCAATGGATGACTTTGAATTATCAATTGCTTGTGTTTATAGCATGGGGCAGCATTAGAAAATACAGTGTTCTGCCAAGACTGCCCATAGCAACCATGCGGTATCAGCTAAGAAACAAATACGGCATTCTGATCACTCCATATCAAATCGTCCTAGCGGGCCTTTCGAAAGAGGCAATGCGCTTGAGCGGATAATGGGGCGTTTGTCACCTTCAAATGCCTCAGCACGACTCCTCCGATCCGGCCCACTTTCTACAGCATTTTTCCCTCCCAGTTTGCGATGAGCATTATCCGTTCCAGAGGCAACCGGAAGTTGCGATTGGAGTAGATGCGCTCGAGCCCTCCGTAACGCGGCGCTTCCCCCCGCCTCAAAGAGTGGACTTTCGGAATGGGCGGTGCCGGAAGTTGCGCCGTGGGAGGGGTGAACTTCCGGCGCGAGGAAGGACCCGTTGCTGGCCCCAGGGGATCGTCGGGCGTCTTGTCCCTCCTTTTCGTGGTCATGAGGCTTTTGCTGCTGCCGCTGCTGCTGCTGCTGCTCTGAGCCATGGGCACCAGCGGCTCCAAGTCCCGAGGCCTCTGGCTCTTTGGCTCGGGTGGGCCAGGCGGCTCCGAGAGGTCAACCGGCGATCAGACGCTGGCTCGAGCTCGGGGGCTCTGCTCGGCTACCCCCTTCGTCTTCACCCGCCGCGGGTAAGAGGGAAGCTGGAGCGGGAACCGGGGGCTGGCTAGGCGGTCTTGCAAGCCTGGCTTTTCCCCTGCCTGCCCTGAGCATCGGACCTCAAGTAAAAGCAGGACGGCGGGTGCTTTCCCTCCCGATGTCCTCCTTGCTTCGGTTCCTCGCGGTTATGTGGGGGGGGGGGAGGAGGAGAAGGAGATTGAAGCTGCCCGATTTCCCCGTACTTCTCCCTCCGTCGCCCGCTGACTTCGGGGTGACCCAAAGAACATCATCGGAGTTTCCCTTTTGGACAGGGCCGCTCCTGAGACGCTACTTTGGGAAACCTGGCCAGGGGCCTTGAGCCCACCTGTCCGCGGGCAACTCCGTGCATGATGAAGATGGTGGTGATGATGCGCCAAGTCGTTTCCGACTCTTAGCGACCACATCGATTTTGGCCGTGACCACCTGCCCTTAACTCGGCCTTTCAACGGGTGCAGTCATTGCCACAGTGACTGGCTCCGTCCACCTTGCTGCTGCTGCTGCTCTTCCGCGCTTCTTTTCTTCCTTCCCTCTTTCCCAGCCTGAGAGCCTTTTCCAGATTTTTGCTTATTCAAAAGTGGAAAGAATAGCATAGAGGTGTTGGCATACAACATAGGGTCTCTCTCTCCCGTTGTTAGCAATGTCTCAGGAGAAATAAATCAAGAATTGTTCTGGAGCTAGGAAATAAATGACTGAAGTATTTATTTACCTTGCTTCCTCGATATTTATTTTCTGCAATATATATATATATTATACACACACACACACACACACACACACACACACACACACACATACATACACACATATACACACACACATTCATTCAGTGGAAAAGAAAGAAGCAGAGGCACTTTAATTTTTGAATATTGTTGCAGGATAATTGTAGCTTCTAAAGAATTTTGATGATTTATTATCAATTGTATTTATTGAGAATGAGAAGTCTCAGTTTATAGTTCTCTTGTTCCAGATTGCTTGTGATAATGGCATTTTACTCTGACATCGATTCAGCATCTGAAGTGTTTTGCAGCCCATTCTGCAGAATCTTTGAAGAACACATCATTCATAATTAAGTAGCTTTTTGTAGTCCAGATCTAGCTAAATTGTCAGGAGCAACATCATATATAACTGTTAGCAAACACATCAAGATAGCAACAGTTCTTAAAGAAGATTCTGAAAAATTGGGATCAAATGCCCAAAGGTTATGGAGATGATCAGAGGACAATAAATGCATCAAATAGGATCGAGAAATATTTAGCATTGAAAAGAAAAGGCTGAAAGTAGGGAGGGGAAATATAGTAGAAGTCTTATCTGAATATGTATTACAAAAAACTCCAATGCTTCATCATCCCAAAGAACAGAATAAGGAATTTAAATTATAGTATAGAAAAGTAAGTTCCTGAGCTGAATTTTGCAAATAACTTGCTGATACTAAATGGGCTTAACAATGAAAGAACACAGCGATCCAGTAATTCCCTTGCCTTGGTTGTGTTTCATGGACAGCATCTATCAGGGATGCTTTAAGATTTGTACATTGAGTCAATTGTTAGATTTATTAGTACTTTACAACTTTCCAAAGTTTAAATTTATCTTAATTTAATCTTACAATACATGTTATATATAGGCAAAAATGGTATGTCTGTCTCCCTGCTGATTAAGTTAAATTTGTCAAAATGCACAACTCTTTGAAATGTGTATTGTGGCTGAGAGTTCCTAAATGAAATGTAATTGCAGTCTGACTGCAGCATTTTAGTTCTCATTTGTATATGCTAGATTGTTCCCGGTTTCTTTCTCCAATTCTCATTCATTCTGCTTCCATTAATTATTGGCAGAAGACAAGTCCACTTTCATTTAGAGTTGCAAGTTTGGGAAAAAACAAATGTAAACATCTAATGTAAACAACTTCAGTTATCTGAACATTGTTTTATGGCAGAACCCAAGTTTGTTAGTGAAGAGTGTCTGCAATTAGATTTGGCAATATGTTAGATTGTTTAAATGTACAGTTTGAAGCAGTCACTTACTGGAAAAAATAACTTACGTGTATATAGCAAATGATGGTGGCTAACTTTTTTTGGCTCCTGTGCACCCAGAAGGCAATGCATGCTTTCCCCCCCCCCATGCCCCTGCACACGCATGTGTGACCTCCTTGCACACACTGCACATCTCTGCACATGTGCATGCATCTGCGCAGATACCTGACAATCAGCTGTTGGGCGGCGGCGCACATGCGCAGGGGGCTCTTCCAGACAACCTCTCTTGTGCCAGCAGAAGTGGCTCTGCGTGTAGCACATGTGCCATAGGTTTGCCATCACTGATCTAAATCTCTGAAATATAAGGAAACCATTTGAAATTTATCCCCATTATATTAGATATTTATGGTATATTAATGCATACTTGTGACATCTTGTCGTTTAAACAGTTTTTCTACTTTTTCTTTTTTTTAAGCAAATACAAAATGTGTATTTCGGATATCTTTGTGGTATTTCACATTTCTGTAAATATATATTTAAATTTTTAATTATGAAGATTGAGTCTCAAGAGAAGTCTCCTCCTTAGTTGTTAATGAATGTCATATAAATTGGTAATTATCTGCATAAGTTTTATTGCACTAGAAGATGATGAGAAATCATAAAACATGGCAAGAAGTGATGCACAACCATTGTTCTTTGTTCCAATCTACAGAAGAATCCATTCGAGACTTTATCTTTGTGATTTGAAATCGGTGTCGTTACACAAGATTTGTTTTAAAAGTGTGCTTCAGTCCTACTTAGAAAATCAAGATTTTTTTCTAAAACAAGAAGCCTGCTCTATAACCAATATACAAATATTTATTAATCTTTTTGCTGCTCATCTCATTGCAATGTGACTCTGGGCAGCTTACAACATTAAAAGCAATAAAACCATATAAGCACACACAGACATGTAACATTAAAAGTACTGATTATGACAAAGATGGAGATGAAGGAAGCAGGATGGGAGATAGGTGAGATCTGCTATTGGTCCATCAGCCACCTCCAGTGTGAAACTTCCCAGTTGGCACCCCCTGTCAGGTCTTGAAGCCCTTAGGAAAAGTCAGGAGGGTAGGAACAGACCTCATCCCAGGGGACACAATGTTCCAAAGGGCAGAAGCCATGTTTAGAGAAGGCTATTCTGGACCCCACCATCTGGAACTGACTGATGGGGTCCATAGCATGCCCCTGCTGGCATGGGTGGGTGGAGAGCAATCCTATGGGATAAGACTTGGACCCATGCCATGAAGGGCCTTAAAGATAATAACCAACAACTTTAATTGCACCCAGAAGCAAACTGGCAGCCATTGCAACTTGCAGAGCAGAAGTATAATATGGGCCACTCTAGGGTCCCCCAAAACTGCCACACACAGTTGTAGCTTCAGAATGCTCTTCAAGATTATCCCCATGTAGAGCACATTGCAGTAGTCTAGACATGAGATGACTAGAGCTTGAATGGTTGAGCACAGCGACTCCTCAACCAGGAAAGGCTGCAACTTCTCACACAATCTGAAGTTATACCTAGCCATGACTGACGCTTGCTCTTCAAGCAGGAGCCATGACTTCAGCAGAACACCCAAGATGCGAAACGGGTTGTCTGAGGTATTGCCACCAAATCCAGGTGACAAAAGGTGTCCTGAGTCCCAGATCTTGAAGCCCCATGCACTCTAAGCCATTCACTATTGCTATGGTTCAGCCGAAGCCTGTTGGCAGCAGCAGATGCCATCTGTCTATCTCCTAATTACAATTAACATAATCTCTATACTGCTTCAGCAGTTTGTCCTTTGTTGATACTACTTTTCAAATTTTCTCATTTCCTTTCAGCTCTATGTATTACGATGAAGATGGTGACCTGGCACATGAGTTTTATGAGGAGACAATAATCACCAAGAATGGGAGGAAGCGTGCCAAGCTCAAAAGAATTCACAAGAACCTGATACCTCAGGTAATGTTTATTGTTGTGTTTTGGATTCAAACAAAGACTCAAAAACACTAAGCAAGACCATTTGATCCAGCCTTTTCAATCTGGACATCTTCATACTTGATAGAAGCTCCCAGATTCTGATCCAATATGCACCAGATTAGGGAGAACTGGATTAATTTCTAGAATTTGCAAGGCTTTTAAAGTGTTTTTTTGTATCTCTGATTGGATTTAATGTAAGAAAACAGAGCCTTTAAGATTGCTTTGTGTCATCTGAGGAAAGATGTTTCATACTGCAGCAGAGACTTTGAAACTGCTGCAGTTAGTGGTCTATTTCAGCCAGTTTCCTCATCAGGGATTTTTCCTATACCTGACGTTAAAAAGATTTATTCAAAATGAAATATTGTAATTTTGATATAGTGTTGATTTGTTCCTTTGAAGGAATAAATGCCTCATTTCTGAAGGTAAGCCACATAATCTTAAGCATAAACAGATCTGTAGAATATTCCATATTTGTGTTTTTTAAACAGTCCAAATGAAGCACCATGGACTAAAAGCAGAGAACATAAATGGTGTTCTATAATTTAATAGGCAATTATGCCATCCTTGAAAGTACGGTGTGTGCGTGTTTTTTTTTCTTTTGGTAACTTGGTTTAGTTTTGCTTTGACCAAATGTTGCTCTTCTTTTTGTAGTGATCCATAACATATACAAGAGGTTTATTTTTCTCCCTGATCTCTAGCTAACATGCCCAGAGGAATGTGTAGTTAATTGGAAATGCTGTCTTTACATCCAGTATCAGACATAGCCTTTGAAGGCCTGTCAGTGTAGTAATTCTACCCCAGAAACTGTGAATGCTTTTCCTTTCAATACTCTATATACCAGAGATGTCAAACTCAAGACCCACAGGCCAGAATCGGTCTGCAGGATGCCTAGATCTGGCCTGCGG